CCTTCACTGGCTCTCAAATAGACTTTATTAAATGGGAGAGAAAGGGGTGGGAATAGGCAATGACCATCATAATGAATGGTCCATGTAAATAGCATGGATCATAGCAGAAAAGGTTGCCAATAGCTATCCAAAAGGCAGTGTAATGAGGTAGGTAGAAAGTGCATGGACCTTGGAATCAGACAGACCTGAGTTCAAACTCTATCTCTTCAACTTGTTACATGACTGGCCTTGGGCAGTAACTTAATATCTCTAAGCATCAGTTACCTCAACCATAAAACATTAATAATAATTCCAAAGGCATAGGGCTGATCTGGGGATTAAATAATGTTATGGTATAATGCACATTTTGTCTTGTTAGTTTCCTTTCCTGTCCCTTTAATTCTTTGAAATCCATGTGTAGTGGGCATAGTAACTCTCTTTTCTTCAGAATCAAAGCTGCCCTATTCCTTTCCTTGCTGGATACCAGCTTGTCTTTGTCCACATATTGCATATATTTGAGAGACGACTTTGATACAATATTTTTCAACCTAGGATACTGGCAGTGTTTAGAAACATAACTTACAATCAACAATTCCAAGACAATTCTTAGATTTGGTGCTATAAATTATTTCACCTTTTTGAGTTGCTCATAGCTTGATTTCTCTTTATGATCTGGGTACACTGTGGAATTTTATAAATGTACCATGAAAAAATAAAATTTTGAAATAATAGAAGTTGGGTAACAATGTATGGGAGCCATGTTCTTTCAGAAAGGATGCATTTGCATTGAATCAGGTTTTCAAATGTATCCAGGAGTTCTAAGTAGTGAAGTTGGCCTTTGGGAGCCAGAGGAGGCCAGGTTAGGTAAAATCTCTGTTTAATACTTCTCTTCTGATGCATTCCATAGGGCTCCATTTTGGTTAAATCATCATAATTCCCACCAAGACAGCACAGAATGATAATGGTTTTATTTATTATTTTATATGCATTGCCAGTATATGCAAAGTTTTATAGCTTGCTATAAATCGAGAGGGATTATTACAGCTGTTACTTATTTTAACGGGTCACAATACAGTAGTTTATGCCAGATGGCTTGGAGAATTTGGGGAGAGAAATTTTATACAGGCAGCCATATACATATTAGCATGGGTAGTTGTACCCTGAAATTAATTTACATTTGTTATGATATCAAATATATATGAATAAACACACAGTTGCTTGTGAATGAGTGATCCATTTTATTGCAGCAGTTTCTTCTGGAAGTCATGGGGGTCCCTTGTGAGCAGTGGTGGGGCAGCAGCAGTGATAATGTGCCGCTACCAGGAAAAATGAGAGGTAAAACTCAGCCACATCCACAGCTAGGGAGAGGACATTCAACTTGCTCCAGGGACTTGAGTCTCAGAGGCCGAACTGGGTTTTCCATCACTGAATTTTAGTCTATATTGGAGCCAAAGAAGATAAAGCAAGGATGTCCCCCAAGGTGACCATAAGGAGGAAGTATATGGTAGAAAGAGAGTAGAGCTGGAATTGGGATCCTCAAGGTCACTGACAAGGTCAATCTGGAACAAGAAGCTTACTCAATCCAGCACATCACATGGTTTATTACTGCCCTTGAAGATGCTGCAGTTTAAGTAGGATGGTCAGTTCTGATGCTCAGCACAAATGGGGAGAAGAAATAAGTACTGGTGGTTTTCAATCAGTTTGGAAGGTTTTTTTGGTTCCAGGTCTCATAGAACGAGACTTACAGAATGAGATACCTAGAGAAATTCTTCTAGATGTACCCTGTGCTCCTTATTTTATAGATGAAAAATAGACCGAGAGGATAATTTGAATATAATTATCTTAGTTGTTTCAATAAAAAAGGTAAAATCAGACTGTCCAGTTGTTTGGCCTCTCTTGGCCTCCTCCAGTTTCCCTCCCCTTGATCTGGCCTCACCAGTTTTTCTCCTGCTTTCTACCCACGCTGGGAAAAGACCACATCCCCACCTGTCAGAACAATCCAAGGACCAGGACTGAAGCAGGCTGCATTTTCTTGGTTAATTGCCCTGAGGTACAAAGCTAATATACCACCTCTGGAACTGGAATAAAATTACTTAAGCCTTTTTAGAATCAATTCTTCCAGTACTTATAAATCAAGAGTCAACTAAGATCTATGGTGTCCACAAAATAATTAAGCAGAGAAGGTGACTTTAAAAATGGAGATTTGGGGTATAACCTATGTGTGGAGAATCAGGAAATGGTAGGATTTTAAAAGTTATGTATGTACCAGGAATGTCAAAGGACAGACCTAGAACCTGTATAATGGACTTTTCCAAGATGGCTAGTGGAAGAACTAAGGCTTTAAAAATTTGTAGACTGGACAATGCAAAAATACCCTGCTTTTTTAGAGCTGCTTGGCTTCCAATAACTTCAGCTGTCTGGAACACAGCACTAAGCCTGGAAGTGAAAAGAGCTTTGTGAGGCTGAAAATACTCGTAGTTGTCAGCAAGTTCATGCACTGTATCTCTCAGCTCTTGCTCAGACCGTTAGTAACTCTTTTTTTTTTTAATGAACAGATGTTACCCAGCCATGGGTGTCTATTTTCTTCATCCCACTGTGGATTTAAACTATAGGGAAGGAGCTAGAAGGAAAGTAAGAGAGGAATGATGGTGGAGAAGTGAATATCAAGGAAAGAGCTTGGAAATCCAAAAAGGAGTCTTTGAAATGTGTTACCATAGAGACCAGTAATCAGCCTTCTTAATAAAGACCCTAAGTAATCAGCAAAGCATTAAAATGTGTTTTGTATGATATGATTAAAGAGATAGGAAAGTGACTTACTCAAGGTGGGTGAATTTTCATAATAAAACCCCCAATATTTCAGTGGCTGACTTCTTTGTTTGCAGTCAGTTGCAGGTCAGCATACCATCATTTTGCTACCCAGACCCCTTCCATCTTGTGGCTCCATCACCCCAAGAACCTCTGTGCTTAGCCAGCAGGCGGGGGAAGAGCAAGTGTAGGAATAGGTGAAGTTTTCATGGGCCAGTATGGAGGCACATACCCATTTTGCCCCATATTGCATTGGCCAGGACACAGTTTCAGGGCTGTGCCTAACTTCAAGCTGGGAGAAGTTTGGGTAGCTGCCAAGTGTAATCTAGCTGGAAGAGAAAGAAAAAGATGGTTTGGTACATAACTAACCAGCCAGTTTCTTCCAGGGAAAGTATAACTATGCTTTCCAGCAGGGAGGGGCATCATAAATTGTTCTTTATTGAATGAACTTTAGTTATATGGCAAATTATCTGTGCCGTCTAGATTGTCTGTGTTGCCTGGCAATACCAGGTAATAGTTACATCCAAGGCACATTGTAGATCAGGTGCGCCAAATCCCACCTACTTTCTGGTTTTACAAATCAAGTTTTAGTGCGACACAGCCACAGCCACATCCATTCATTCATGCATCATCCATGGCTGCCTTTGGACTGTAACAGCAGAATGCAGTCATTGCAACAGAGACCACATGGCCTGTAAAGCTGGAAATACTTCCTGTCTGTCTGGTCCTGTCTGGAGAACATTGGTTGGCCCCTGTTATAGATGATCACCATGCTAAGGGAAAGCATGTTTGCAGTGATCTTTCTCCTGAGACCTGATACCATGGGCTTCCAATAAAAATAAGGACAATACCCAAATGGACCATTCTGTAAACTCATCTGCTCCAGCAGGGGCTTGCCTCTGCTCTATTTCTGCCAGCACCTAGCACAGTACCTGGCATCTAAGAGACAGTCAATAAGCGCTTCTATTTGAACCTTTGTACTGTAGTAAGTATCGGGCACCCTAACTGTCATAGATGGGAGAGGGATGTCACAAAACAATATGATATGAGCATTATGTGTGAGGACTTCAAGCGTAGGTAGGACGGAACCACCTTCATCGAGCTCTTACTATGTGTCCGGCACCATCATGGTGTTTTCTATTATTTTATTGACTCTTCTACAAATTAGGTATTTTTTCCATTTCACGAAGGAGGAAACCAAGATTCAGATCATTTTCCCATGGCTGCAGTGCTAAGAGCTGGAGGAGCTGGGATTCAAACCAGGTTCTTCTGGGTCCAAAGCTCATGTTTTTGCCTCTAGTCCATGAAACTGGCGGTAACCTTATTCAAATCTAAGCAACCTAATCCATATCATTTTAGTCATCACTGTTAACACAGACCTCATTACCCCAAATTCTGAGCAGCCCTTGATAGAGCCCCTCCTGTTGATTTCTTAGTGACATTTAGCGTTATTGACCATGCTCCCTTTTTTTTAAAAAGATTTAATTATTTATTTGAAAGGCGGAGGGAGAGGCAGAGAGAGATCTTCCATCCGCTAGTTCACTCCCCATATGGCTGCAATGGACAGGGCTGAGCCAGATGCCAGGAGCCTCCTCCGGGTCTCCCACATGTGTGCAGGGGCCCAAGCACTTGAGCCATCCTCCACTGCTTTCCTAGTCGCTATAGCAGGGAGCTAGGTAGGAAGTAGAGCAGCCGGGTCTCAAACCGACTCGTATGTGGGATGTTGGCGCTGCAGGCGGGGGCTTAACCCCCTACGCCACAGTGCCAGCCCCCATGCTGCCTTCTTTCTTTTTTGACAGGCAGAGTGGACATTGAGAGAGAGAGAGACAGAGAGAAAGGTCTTCCTTTGCCATTGGTTCACCCTCCAATGGCCGCCACGGCCGGCACACTGTGCTGATCCGATGGCAGGAGCCAGGTGCTTCTCCTGGTCTCCCATGGGGTGCAGGGCCCAAGCACTTGGGCCATCCTCCACTGCACTCCCGGGCCACAGCAGAGAGCTGGCCTGGAAGAGGGGCAACCGGGACAGAATCCGGCGCCCCGACCGGGACTAGAACCTGGTGTGCTGGTGCCGCTAGGTGGAGGATTAGCCTAGTGAGCCGCGGCACCGGCCATCCCCCATGCTGCCTTCTTAAAACCATTTCTACCCCTTGCTTACGGCCGGTTTACTGCGCCGATCTGAAGCCAGGAGCCAGGTGCTTCTCCTGGTCTCCCATGCGGGTGCAGGGCCCAAGGACTTGGGCCATCCTCCACTGCACTCCCGGGTCATAGCAGAGAGCTGGACTGGAAGAGGAGCAAACGGGACAGAACCGGCACCCCAACCGGGACTAGAACCCAGGGTGCTGGCACCGCAGAAGGAGGATTAGCCTAGTGAGCCGCGGCGCCGGCCATCCCTTCCTTCTTGTGCTCCTGCTTCTCTGACGCATCTCTCCCTTCCACCCTTCTTCCTTTGCCTGTTCACCCTTAAACTTGGGGGCTCATGGTTCTCTTCTCAGTGTCCTGAGAGTGTGGCCAGGCTATCTTGTCCTGCCTCATCTTCCTGTCCTAGCCACACTCGATTCGAGCCAGATTACCTGTCCTTGCTGGCAACTGCCAGCCCTCTGAGGAGGTTGGTCATGAGTGGGGTTGCAGAGAACAGCCAACCCAGACTAACTTGGGTTCTGTGTGATCCTTCATGTGACCACAATACCAATTTGTAGTAATGCCAATTAGCAAATATTCTTTACCAGTGCTTGTGCAAACTCTGTGATTTCTTGTGACCTTGCAGAGTGAAGTATTTCACCACAGCTGTGAATTATGGAAAAGTTCCAGGCCTAGTGACACAGTACTGCCCACACATGCAAATCTGCCTAGGGCATACACCTGTCTATTGGGGGGCGGGGGCCGGTGGAAGGTGGCCCAGTCAGGAAATAGTCAAGCTTTCCCTAAATGGGGTTCAAAGGCCTTAAGACAAATGACCAAAACCGGAATCCCACAAGACTTCTTTGGATAATTACATTCAGATTTTCCCATGTTATAGATGCGGATATCCCCTGGGAGTGTGCTGTTTTAAGTGGCCCCAAATGGCTCTCTGCCTTCCGCATCAGGTTTTATGTATAGGACCTGCCAGTCGAAGGCATGGGTACACACTGCTGCGGTTTTTAACCCTGGTTCAACCTCCGAGCTGCTTTCTTAGTAAATCACCCTGCCCTGGCGATGAAATGCAGGGCTGCAAAGGCATTGTCCTTGCAGAAGCCCGGGCAGGGGGAGTTGTGTCTAGGATGCGAGCTTTCAGCATCCTGAGATGAATGGGGGAGGGGACGCAATGTCACATTTTTCGGGTCGCTCTATTCCTGTTACATGCTGGCACATGCTCTATGCCAGTCTCGGACCACCCTCCAGCCAAGACTGGAGGGGTTGGCACAGCCGGTTTCTCTGATTCCTCTGCTGTTGGCCAGGGACTGGGGACAAGGGAGGTGAGAAGGGAGCCACGGGGGTGCGTTGCTGAGCAGCCGCGGTCGGTCCAGCCTGTTGGTGATGTGCAGAGCCCGCCACCACTCCGGGCATGGGTAACGCGCAGCCCCAGCATTTGCGCTACCGAGGAAGGAAACGCACAGGTACAAGAAATCCGGATCCGGGATCCTCCTCAGCCCCCGGCTTGTCTAAGCGCCCAGGCCGGGCTTTGTGGCCGGCTCCCGCTCGCCGCGGAGTTTGGAGCTGGGAGCTGAGTCCTGCAGCTCACTGCGGCTGGCGGCAGGGGACGGATTCTTTGTAGCCAGGTTCTTTTCAGCCCGGCGGAGCCCAGAGATGTTCGCGGAGCCAGGTAGCTGTCTGCGGAGCGTTGGTGCAACCGTGCCTGCTGCCCGGGAGGTTTGGCTGCCGCAGTCCTCTCCATTCACCGGGCTGTAAATCGAAGCTGTCTACGCCGGCAAGGCGCTCGATCGCGGCGTGGCCCCGGGGCTACGTCCCGCCCAGGTCTCCCGGCACCTGATTTCCCAGTGGTCAATTAGGTGGCTCAGCCTGCAGCATTGAAGCAGTGGAGGGGCCAATGCCCCTGCTTTGATGGAGCGCGCCGTGCGCAGAGACCTCCCCAGTCGACTTCCTCATCAGAAGGCAGCATCCATTCATAATTCTGTCTCTGCCTGTGGACCGAGTTAGGCTGGCGCCGGGCATGGATTTCTGCGATCTCGTTTTTTGCATCTGAAGGAGAAACTAAGATAAAAGGGAAAAGGAAGAGGGAATGCGGTCCTAACGCAACAAGGCGCTGGAAAGCCCCTGAGAGGCCTCTCCTTGGCGGGGAGAGGGAGAAGAGGCAGATCCCCAGCCCAGCGACCCAGCCAGCTGCTGCTTCGCTGCGGAGCCGGCACGCATGCCTACCTCACCTGACGGCCGCATTCCCGGGGAGCCGGCGCGGGGCCCGGCGGCGCGCCCGGGGCGCACCGGAGCTAGGATTTCTGCACCGGGCGAACGAGGCGCGGGCGGGCTGCCACGGGCCGAGCCTGAGCCAGAGCGGGCGCCGGGGGAGGCTAGCCTCGGCGCGGCGCTCCACCGCAACCCCCCGGGATGCTCCGCGACTCGCAGCCCAGGCCACGCGGGTGTGTGTGAGATGGGACCCGCTGGTGATGGGGGGGGGGGGGTGAGAAGGGATAACGGCAAGTGACATAATTTTAAACTAATTTCTTGCATCTCTGGGTGGCGGGTGAACTTGGGGGAGGGGGAGGGGAGGCACGAACCGCAGCCCAGGCGCGCGCTAGCCTGAGGGGAGATCCCCCCACCCCATCTCTGGCCGAGGTCTCTTGAGCCGGGTCGCCTTGGCAGAGCCGAGTGAGGGTGAGCTGGCGGTCAAGGTGGACCGCACATAGCTCGGATGGCAAGGGGAACAGCACTGGCTTTCAGGGGGGTTTTTAATTTTTTTTTCTTTAAAGCATATTGCAGCTGTAGCTTTGAAGTTTGCCGCCTGCTCCCCAGCCCCCATCCTGGTTGTGGGGCGGGGCGGCACTTTTCCACGCTGCTGCCCAGGCCCTCACGGCCGGGGTGACGGGGTCTGCAGGGGTTGCAGTGTGTGGTGTCCGGCTTCCTGCAGAGAACACAGGGGCTGGAGGGCATTGCAAGTGGAAGGGCACCCTGTGGCTTGGCCTTCTGGGGACTCTTAAGGGCTGAGGAACAGTCGGGAATCCCGCCTGGAGCCGCCTTCTGATTCTCTGCCCTGCCACTTGGTTGTTGGATGACATTTTGCCTGTGCAGGGGTTTCACTGTCATGGAGCTGTGATGCTGTAAGGCAAATGGACTGTTAGGATGAGCTGGAAGAGAGAGGCAGCAGAGCTGGAGCTCTGCCTTCTGTGGCAATGTTAACCCCATCCACCCTGCCCCCTGGCTCACATAGCTCCTGGGGTCACCGGCTGTGGGCACCAGTGGGGCTGCCTGGCCCGCCAAGCATGCTGGGGATGGTGGGCCAAAGCTGGACCTGCTCAGGGCATGCCAGGCCAGCAATGTATTTGCAGTAGAAGAGCAGAGCCCCACCTGCTCCCCACCCCTCCCTTTCGGAGGAAGGCTGAGCAGGCCCAGCTATGCTGGTGCACAGGGTTTTGCCATAGTGTGGTATGCTCCTGAGTTTGGGAACTCTTGTTTTATGAGGTTTTTCCATTGCAGTTTTGTGTCTCTTGGTCACCAGTTTGTTTTTTACAGCTGCTTGTGAGCAAGGCAAAGATAACAGCATCTAAAAATAGCCCTGCGGCTAGAGATGCAGCTTGGCTTGACCCCACTCTTACAGGGATGGGGGTCTCCCTTCCCAGCTGCCTGGGGGCAAGCCAGACTCAGGGCCCCAGATAGCCTGAACCCAGGTCGACACATCCTTCAGAGCAGTCCGAGGTCTGGTCTCCAGGCCAGGCAAGGATGCTGGAGTGCTGGTCTCTGTGAGAGAGGCAGCAGCTCTAGGGGCTTCATCTGTTCCTGTATGAGGCCCAGAGCAACTGCAAGCTGCAGGATTGGAGGATGGGAGCCTGGCTGGGGATCCCTTCCCTGCCCCCTGCGGTGGACATCTGTGGCTTTACTCTCCCTGCCTTGAGTTGCACCAGTAGTATAGCTAGGGCTTCCTCCTCTGCACTTCAGGGGTCAGCGGGCCACTCCCCCGCAAAGGATTTTGGGCCAGAAGACAGAGGGATCAAAGGGTGCTTAAAGCATGCCAACTTCCTAGTGTGTAGATCATAGCTGGGGTATGACTCTTTCCCTTCCGGGTAGAAGCCTCTGGACAGTTAACTAAGGAGCCTCTTGGCAAGCCAGAGATATCCAGGTTGCCTGAAGGAGGCCACCCCCAGCTGATGGGGTAGGCGCCACGTGGAATAGAGACCAGAAAGGACGGAGGGTGTTGCAGTGACCACGATGGCAGGAAGCTCAGGTCTTCTGTGTGTCCTGGGTCCCATGAGCCTGCAAGCCTTCCCCCATTATTTATTTTCAAATGCCTTCGTTTCTCCCATGGTCACCCTTTAATGATGGCAATGGTGGTAGCTTCCAGCTTAAAAAATAAAGTGGCTCTCTCTGTTCCTCATTTGGTTGAATGATGGGATTTGTTGTTGTTGTTGTTGCCAGAATGCATTGGTAATTGCCAAAAAAATGTGAATGCCTAATTTTTCTGCAGTGAAAAAAAATCAACCAAAGAGCCAGGGTATTTAGGGGCGAGGCTGTGAATCTATATCACCAGTTCTCTTTCGCTAGAACCTACCAGGTGATTTTCTTCTCTTTTTCAAAGCAAATTTTCATTTTGAAATGTTGCCTCTATCTTAGGTAATGTCATAACTATAGTGACTGGGAAAATATTAAGGTAGAGATCTTGATTGGGAGGAAGGAAGGGACTGGGAAACATGTCTCTGAGAAATCCATTATCTTGCAAAATGTTACTGGTTTAATCTTTAAAATTTCCCCTGTGTTTGTGTTACCCGCAGAAGATACCAGATGAACCACAATGAAATGTAGCCCAAGAGTCCAAGCGCAACAGTAGGCAACTATGACTACTTAGATGAGAACATGGGAAGACCCTGATTGGGATTCAGATTTCTCTAAAACATAATTGACTTGGCTCAACCTTTAGCAAATAAGCTGTCAATGACCCTTTGCTGTTAAATAGAAAGGGGCTGCTTTCTCTTGCAGATCCAAACGTGAATCAGCAGTTAACTAGAGCCCCACAGTGAGGCTATTGGTCAGGGAAGGTTAAATACTGTAACAAAAAGCCCCAAATCTCAAGGGGTTCACACAATAGAAAATTACTTCTTTAAAAAATTATTTATTTATTTGAAAGAGCTACAGAGAGAGAGGACGAGCCAGAGAGTGAGCAAGCGAGCTATTCCATCCACTGGTTCACTCGCCAGATGGCTGCAAAGGCCACGGCTAGGCCAAGCCTGAGCCAGGAGCTGGGAGCTTCTTCTGAGTCTCCCACATAGGTGTGGGAGTCCAAGCACTTGGACCATCTTCCGCTGCTTTTACAGGTCATTAGAAGAGAGCTGGATCAGAAGTGGAGCAGCCGGGTCATGAATCAGAGCCCTTATGGGACTCTGGTGTGGCTTTACCTGCTATGCTGCAGCGCCAGCCCCAGCAGTTTATTTCTTATATGCATAAAAGCTATTCAGCTTTTTTTAGTCTCTCGGGGCCAGCACTGTGGCATAGTGGTTTAGGCCACTGCCTGCAGTGTCGGCATCTCATATGGGTGCCGGTTCGAGACCTAGCTGCTACACTTCCGATCTAGCTCTCTACTATGGCCTGGGAAAGCAGTAGAAGATGGCCCAAGCCCTTGGGCCCCTGCACCCGCATGGGAGACCCAGAAGAAGCTCCTGGCTCCTGGCTTTGGATGGACACAGCTATGGCAGATGCAGCCAATTGGGGAGTGAATCAGCGGATGGAAGACTTCTCTCTGCCTTTGCCTCTCATTCTCTTGCTGTGTAGCTCTGACTTTCAAATAAATAAAATAAATCTTTTCTTTAAAATTTATTTATTTATTTATTTAAATTTATTTTATTTATTTGAAAGACAGAGTTACAGAGAGGCAGAGAGAAAGAGAGAGACAGGTCTTCCATCTGCTGGTTCACTCCCAAAATGGCCGCAATGGCCAGAGCTGCATCGATCCGAAGCCAGGAGCCAGGAGCTTCCTCCAGGTCTCCCACATGGGTGCAGGGGCCCAAGGACTTGGGCCATCTTCCACTGCTTTCACAGGCCATAGCAGAGAGCCGGATAGGAAGAGGAGCAGCCGGGACTAGAACCAGCGCCCATATGGGATGCCAGCACTTCAGGCCAGGGTGTTAACCCACTGCACCACAGTGCCGGCCCCAATAAATCTTTTTTTTTTTTTTTCAAAAAAAAGTATTTTCTTTCCAGTTTGTGACTACCTACCATTCCCTGGAGATTAAAAGTTCTCTGCATGCAGTCAGCAGAAAAGAAAAACAGTAATGTCAAAGATAGTCCTGGATGTAGCACCCCTCACCTGCACCCACATGCCATAGCTGTAACTCAATCACAGGGCACATCTAACTGCAAGGGGTGCTGGGAAATGTAGTTTGTGTATAGTCTATGCCATGGTAATACATTCTCTGGCATGAAAAGAGTCCCTTTTTACCTCTACTTTGGGATTTGAGTGTGGCTCCAGACAAGTTACTTGGCCAAATACACTACAGACCTCAATCTTAAAAATGATGGGAATTCCACCTCTCCTCTCCTGTCTCAAAGAGATTTAGAAACAACAGAATCCTAGAGGGACCACCTACTCCAGCCTCTTTAGGCAAGGCCACTATTATTATTCCCGTTTTATAAATAGCTTGCCCCACATCAAGGGCAGGAACCAGAACCTAGGTCCTCTTCTCTTGGCTCGGTACTCCTTCCACCATGCTGTTGACCCTGCCCTCTTATGGAAATAGTTGGGTAGGATGGTTTCTGAAATCTAATACCCTTTCTTAGTGTCTAATCATTAAAAAGCAGCTATTTCTATGATTTAAAATCCACATGTGATTTTCCCCCCAATTCTTACCATATAAGCACTTATAGTCAGGCACGGAATAACCAAACATTAATATATGCCCTGTACAGGCCGGCGCCACGGCTCACTAGGCTAATCCTCCACCTGCGGCACCGGCACTCCAGGTTCTAGTCCCAGTTGGGGTGCCGGATTCTGTCCTGGTTGCTCTTCTTCCAGTCCAGCTCTCTGCTGTGGCCAGGGAGTGCAGTGGAGGATGGCCCAAGTGCTTGGCCCTGCACCCGCATGGGAGACCAGGAGGAAGCTCCTGGCTCCTGGCTTCGGATCAGTGCAGCGCGCCGGCCATAGCAGCCACTTGGGGGGTGAACCAACAGAAGGAAGACCTTTCTCTCTGTCTCTCTCTCTCTCACTGTCTAACTCTGCCTGTCCAAAAAAAAAGTATGTATATATATATATATATATATATATGCCCTGTACATATATTAACCTATTTAATTCTCACAGTAATCCTTGGAGGTAGGAACTATTTTAGCCCCATTTAGCAGATAAGGAAAACCAGGCAGAGAGAAGTTAAATAAGTTTTTTGTTTTAGTGAGTGACCTTAAAGATTCATGACAGGGAGTCTCTTGTAAATTTGCTGAG